CACACACAAGCATTCACACTCAGACACACACACAAACACACAGACACCCTCACACAGGTACACGCTGGGGGAGGGGGTGTTCCACCACCCCACGTGTTTTCAGACTTTTCACAACATACTGAGCAGTTGCGCTGACTCTCCCCCCATTTTTAGCTCTTTGGTATGGGAGGGGGAGGGAAGGGTGCTGGCTGGTGCCCAATATGTATGTGTGTTTTGGGGGGCTGACAATTCACCAAACAGTAAGCGAGGGCCCCCCCCGTTGGGCACTGATTAGGCGCCTGCTGGATGCGCTGCTGCCGTGCTCTTTGGCCGGCCCTCGTTGTCTATTGGGGAAACCAGCCCCGGGAAAGGGCGCAGGGGGATGGGGGCCGAGACTGCCCAAAGGGGAGGAGGGGGCGCCACTGGAGTGTACTGAGTAGGGGGTGACAGGGTGGCCAGAGATGGGCGGAGGGAGGGACATGCGGGAGACCATCCAGGGCATGGACCACGACCTCCCCCCCTGCATCTGCGTAAAATGACCGTGACCTCCACATGACTCCCACGTGTGACCACGACCCTTCAGTAATCCGTCCGCCATGGGGGGGCCCACCGTGACCCCCCACGTGACCTGACGCCCACATCCGCGAGATGCCCTCCCCTCCCCCCACGTGAGTTCCCCCCATGTGACCCGCAGCTAGCGGTGGCCCCCCACCCCCCGTGTGACCACGCCCCCTCTACCAGCCAGGATCGCCTTCCCCAAGTGTGTGACTTTGCCTCCCCCAGGCACTGGGACAGCTGAGGCCAGGCCCAGGCGGAGCCGGGTGGGGCCGTGGCCCCTCAGAGCCTCCGCCCTCACGGTCCCTTAGCCGGTCCACCGCGTGCGCCCCGCCCCCCCAGGGCCCGCCCCCTGGCCCCGCCCCGCCCCTCCGCCCTCTCACTCTGGCCAGACACCTCCTCCGGCTGAGGGGGGTTAATTAACTAATAAGCAGGGGGCGGGGCCGGCGCCTGGCTCGTTACCTGCTTCTGATTGGCTGTTGGAGAAGAGTTGGTGGTCTGATCGAATGGATCCGGGCTCGGGTCTGAGCAGGCAATCCCCGCAGGTGACAGGTGGGGAGACTGAGGCTCTCGGCCCGGCAAACGTCTGCGGACCATTCTCCCCAGCCCCGAAGAGGACGCCTTCTGCAGCATGGAGCCTTCTAGCCTCTGTTGGGAGTCTTCCGGGGATGGGGAGCTCACCACCGTCGTCTTGGCTTGATCGGTGTCCACCGGCTGGATTCTGCCCTCGCTCCAGCCCAATGCGGAGGGCTGCGAGAGCCCCGCCGCGTCCCCTTTTACGGACCGGTAAATTGAGACTCTGAGAGGCTGGGGACGTGCCTGATCCGGGGCTTGCCGTCCCTTCCCACCTTTCTCCCGCGCTGCCTCAGTTTCCCCCTCTGCCCCACGGCGGCGCGGGAGGCTGGCGCTGAGGCTTGGACCGCGCGCTTGGACCCGGGCCCGGACGGGGCAGTGAGGCCTGGAGGCGCCTCCGCTGGAACCCAGTCCGGTCGCCCGGGAGACGCATTCCTGGCTGCCATGGGAACCAGCGTGTTTGCAGATCGCAGACCCGGTGTGGCTGAGGCCGGGGGCAGCTCCTGACAGTCCGCTCCCCAGCGCGTCGGGGTAAGGCTGGGGCAACCGGGTAATGCTGCTGGGCTGGGGGGGAGGGGGGGGCCGCCGGGGCCACCGGGGAATGCTCCCCCCCCCCCCCCTTGTCCGCCCCTCCCTCCCCTCCCCCCTTCTCTTTGTCCTTCCCTCCTTCCTCCCCCCTCCCCTCCTTCCCCTCCCCCCTTCCCTTTGTCCTTCCCTCCTTCCTTCCCCCTTCCCTCCTTCTCCTCCCCCCTTCTCTTTGTCCTTCCCTCCTTCCTTTTTTCTTCCCTCCTTCTCCTCCCCCCTTCTCTTTGTCCTTCCCTCCTTCCTTTTTTCTTCCCTCCTTCTCCTCCCCCCTTCCCTTTTTCCTTCCCTCCTTCCTTTTTTCTTCTCTCCTTCTCCTTCCCCCTTTCCCTTTTTCCCATGGGAGTTAAGAAGTCACCTGCCAAAGTCTTTGGGGTCCATGGCACATCTCGAGGAAGGCAGTGAGTGGTGTGGTGGGGCTTGAGAGCTGGAGAGCTTGCCTGCTGAGGTGGGGCGTAGCCTCTGGACTGTGGCCCCGGCTGCCCCTCAGGAGGAGTCGTTCCAGGCTAAGCCGCCTGTTCTGCAGGATTCTGGGCAGCCTCATTGACATTGTCAGTGTCCTTAATAAAAAGTTCTCCCCCAGAACTGACCACGCTAGCTTAGTGCTCCAAGATACATACCTTTCCTTGGGCATATCTTCTGTGGCTGCTTCATCAATCCATCAGCCTATCAACAAACATTCTGAAGCACCATGGAGCTTGCAGTCCACTCAGACCCCCAGCTCCTGTTTCCCTCACCAGGCTTGGCTCTGTAAACACTGGTCTCTGATTTCTTCTGTTCTGCCTAGTCTCCTAGTCTCTTCTCCGGCCTCCTCCAACTACCTCTTCATTCCATACTTACAATGACTTAATGCCAGTTCCTGAAGCATGTCAGTATCCCTCATGAGTATCACCCAACTGTGATGGGGAGCTCACTACCTTTTGAATCAACCCTTTCCACTTTGGAAAGCCAGAATTTTTAGGACGTTTTAACAGATCAAGTCAAAATTCATGACTGAAATTCCCTATCCTCTTCTCTTTATCTCTGTTTATTTTCACCCTCTTGGGCCTGATCCATCCCTCAATCTATCTGGCCAGGAATCCTCTTTGGGTCCAAGATGTGCCCTCCTCCATATTAGCTGTCCATCTTTGATCCCACAGAAGATGAGATGAGCACGCCCCATCCATGTGCCCTGATTCTTTTATTGCTGGATTGCTCAGCAGAGCAGGCCTGGGGCTAGAGCCCCAGGACTCTCAGCTCAAGACCTTTCTTCAGGCTGCCACTGACCCAGGAGTTGCCACATGGGGCACAGCTCCCCTTCTCCATCTTGAACCCAAACCTGGTGGGAGGTTGGGGAAGGTGTGTGCAGTCAGCGCACTCTAGGAAGGCCTGGCCAATACTCTGGAAGGTCTGGAAAACTGACTGGGGAGGCAGGCTTTGCGTCTCCTCGGACGTCCTTCATGTCCTCCAGCAGGATTCAATTCAAGCAACACTTCTGGGTCCCCTTCTGTGTGCAGAGCACTGTGCTAGGCACTGAGGAGGGAGAGTGCAATGATGAGAAGGGAACAGGAGAAGGCTCCAGGGTACATGAGTAAATCAGTGTCTGGACAACATGGGCTGTCCTGAGTCTATCAGTGGCACACCAGCATGTACAAGGGAGGTGCCTGAGGGAATCAGGGAGTGCTGGGTCTTGAAGGATGGCTAGGGTTTCAGTGTCAGAGATGGGCAAAGACAGAAAAGTTCAGACATTGCCCCATGGTGGTGGTGAGTAGTCTGATATGTCTGGAGGCTAGAGGATGAGCAGTGATGTGGTTGGAAATGCGAGGGGGATAGGTGGGTGGCACTGGCTTGTGGAGGGGCCTTTGGGCCCCTGGTGGGGGTTTGGGCAGGGAGGTGGCTGCTAGCCTGGTCAGGGCAGCCAGTTCTGGCCGTCTGACTGCTTGCAGGGCCTGCAAGGGCTGCTGAGGGCCTGCTGTTCTTCTGCAGGGCCCAGAAAGCCACCATGGCCAAACTGCTACAAGCCCCTCCCAAATTCCTGCTGCCCGAGTGGCACATTGCTAACAAGAGCCAGTACAGCAGTGCTGAATCTCAGCGCGCCAGGTCGGAGCGCCTTGTGGCTGAGAGCCAGAGGCTGGTGGATGAGATTGAAAAGACCACCCAGAGAACACAGAGTGACGTCAACAAGAAGATCGGTGAGGGGTCCCCGGGGGTGGGCGGGGCCCTTGCCCTGCTCTGGGCCGCAGTCTTCTCCTCTGTGAGGGAAGGCAGTGCCCACTGCCATGGCCTTGGGTCAGGCCATTCGCTGCTCTGAGTCTTAGGCTCCTCCTTGTGAAAAATGAGATTTAGGCTAGATAATCTCTAGTGTCCCATCTAACTCAAATTGTTAGAAGTGATCCGTGAATTGAGCCGGAGGGGTGGGAGGCAGAGGGGCAGGGAGCCTGGGGAGTCATGGGGCTGGGGGCTGGAAGCTAGGAGGCTGGGGAGTCATAGGACTGGGGGCAAGGGGGCTGGAAGCTGGGAGGCTGGGGAGCCAGGGGAGCAGGGGGCTGGGAGGAAAGGGACTAGAGAGCTATAGGACTGAGAGGCAGGGGAGCAGGGGGCTGGGGGCTGGGGAGCCATAGGACTGGAGTGCTGAGGAGGTCTGGGAGTGTTGGAGGTCCAGGGACCATGGGGTTAGAGAGCCGAAGGAGGGAGTTTTGTGGAGAACCAGAGGGCCTGGAAGCCATGGAGAGCCAGGAGGAGTGGGGAGCTGGAGGCCTGGGGAAGGCTACAGGATGTGAGCTGGGTCACTTAGCAATGGGCCTGCCCCAAGTTTAGAAGATGTCTCTTTTTGAAAATACGGAGGCCCTGCTTGTACAATGGCATGGTGGGGTGTGGTGATCTAAGGCTGATTAAGATGGTCCCTGAGCATCTTCTACTGTATGTACGAAGCCCTGGCTTTGCTAGGAGAAGCTGTGTGACCTTCAGCCAGGTGTAGAGCCATTGGGGGGGGG